CTCAAACACTGAGCCTGGTTTATATAAAAATCTTACAGTAAACCGTGCTTTCAAGTAAAAGAAGATAGATACACATATACTGGAAACATTTTAAAATTTAGATCACATTAGAAATTCACTAAGATAAGGAGAACTATCGCAAACTTTTTTTTTTTTTTTTACATTTAAGCAGTCTATATCTTTAGTCAACAAAATTTGGAGATTTTTTTTTTTCAATTTCGGCACACTATTTAAAATGGTCGTAAAACTTCGTGTGAATTGCATAGAAAATGATAATAACCTGCCTATTCGATCAACAAAGAAAATACACGATTTATATTTGTAGAAATAGTATTTAGTATTGATGGACATTTGATCCAAACTTTCATAACAAAATACTATGTATAGCAATCCATGAATCAATTTTTGTACGAGCTATGTGTCACTCAAGGGGTTGAATCATGGAAGACTTTTTATAATTAATCAACCAAAGCAAATAAATGATTAGTGAGTATTTCTGAATCCCAAAATCACAAAGCTAAAAAGTAACCCCATATCGTCAAAATGTTTTGGATTGTTTATTTGATTGGTCATTTGAAAAATTATTTTGTTAAAACAGATTCTGATTGCACACATAAGTACTCTGAAGTTGACATCAAGAAGATGCTTGAGTTTCTGATTGACAATATCTATGTGGTTTTTGGAGACCAGGTATTCCAACAATCTATTGGAATTCCCATGGGTACAAATTGCGCTCCGTTATTAGCAGACTTATTTTTATATTAATATGAAGCAGAATTTATGCAAAATCTTTTACGTGAAAAGAAGAAAACACTTGCTGTGGCCTTCAACTCGACATTTAGATATATCGACAACGTATTGTCAATTAATAATGATAATTTCCATTCCTACGTCGACACGATATATCCTGGTGAGTTTGAGATAAAAGATACCACAGAGTCCGACACTTCTGCTTCATACTTGGATATTTTACTTGAAAAAGACACTAATGGTAATCTAACAACCAAGCTATATGATAAACGTGATGACTTTAACTTTTCTATCGTCAACTTCCCTTACTTATGCAGCAATATACCTTCATCACCTGAGTATTTATATCTCAGTTGATTCGATACGCAAGAGCATGCTCTACGTATGAACAATTTCTTAAACGAGGTAAATTATTGACAAGCAAGTTGATAAAACAAGAATATCAACAGTCTCGTTTAAAGTCATCATTTCGTAAATTCTATGGTCGATACAATGACCTTGTCAGCAAATACAATTTATCATTGAATGAAATGCTGACTGACGTTTTTCATACCAATTGTTAGTCCATTATTTATACACTGAATTGACCACGGATTTTTTTCCGTTTTTTCCTGATTATTACAACGAGCACACGGCGGGTGTGACCGGTCGGCAGGGGATGCTCACTCCTCCATGGCACCTGATCCCAGCTCTGATGTTTCGGAGGTCCGTGTTTGCTCTGCTCTTATTTTGTATATTTGTTTAATGGACGTTAAGATTGAATACTGTTCGTTATTTCCATATCCTTCTTGTTTAAGAGCTGTGTTTAATAAAGTCCCTACAAATCTTCCGGCATGGATTTCTAGGTTCTACATCTTCATACACATATTCATATTATGTATAGTTATATTTCTCTTCATAATAAGACACAATAGCAGGTTTAACATGTTTATTGAATTATCAATATAAAGCAGTTAAATAAAGGTATAAATGAATTTCACTGAAATATATACATGTATAATACTAAATGGTTAAACATAAATAAAATCAATGCAAACGTATACATACTCTCCAAATAAGGAACAAATTAAGCCTTGATGAAAACGTCCAAGTTCAACACTTCCTAGGGATAAATTCAAATCTGTAAGTAGGAACAAAAGGCCCACTGGCCTCATAGGTCACCTTGGTATCATGTTACAACTTTCCAACACTTGAATTTGGTTCATGTTTTAAACCGGAGACCAAGAAGCACCTTTGCTTATCATAATCATATACTATTAGCATGCGTACTCTGGAAAATCAATACCCAGAGGTAGATAAGATGATACGCTGAACCTGGGACTACATATGTCAACATTTTAGAAATTTTTTCATCAATTTTATTTCATCATAAATAGTTGATTGAAACCAAAGAGCATATTTAAAAGTATTAAGTTTTTTCAGACTTGTTTAATACCCTGCAGGAGCAGAAGAGAAGATTTTCAAAGAAATAATGCACGTTTACTATATAATCTAAATAGCCCCGTCCTTACACCAGAATCCCTGACACTGGGGCCACGAGTTTCACAATTTTAATAGAAAGTTCACTGCTTATTGCAATAATGCAAATAGTCTGGCCGCTTTATGTGTAGGAGTGTGTGAAATTTTTAAAGACTATTTAACTTTTGGAGACTTGAGCCCCATCAGACAAGCCCAATGGGAGACAAGAACAAAGAAATTCATAAACTTTGTTCTCTTTTACCCATAAATGCTGTACATTAAATATGCTTGAAATTGGTTCAGTGGTTCAAAAGTATAACCGACGTACGACGGACGAAAATAGATAGCAATAGGTCACCTGTGAAATCAGGTGACCTAATAATAAACTCAGGTGACCTAAAATGTAAGGTTACAAAATATTTGGGCCATGCAAAATGCTGCTAGAATCCATGGCCAGCACTAGTGTCACAGAAATGATTACTTGTTCGTTTTTTATTACTCTCGGACCATTCAATGATGTATGAAGTAAAATAGCAAAATTACATACATGTATCTACAAAATACAAGCTTGAAATATTCACATGATAACAGTACTACTTATTAATAAGTTTCGTATGTAATGTATGTTACGTACTGAAATTCATCACATAAAGTATTTTTATTACAGGTAATACATATTATTAAAGCTCTGTCAGTATTAGTCCATCTACCAGCCACGATTGAAAATTTGTGTATTTTCTATGCTAATATGCCAGTCTTGTAAAACTTGATTTAACAACGTTTCTTTTACAGCAGATTTTAAACATGTAATACAAATAAAATTATGCGTCATTCACACATAAGACAATCTAGACAGACGACACAAATTCACACATATAAATTATTTTTATCATGCGTGTATAGATAAACCTTCAGTAAATCATTCATACAGAAAGCAATGCATTATGTTTGCCATCTTACACTCATGTGACATCAAAGGTTTTCTTCACAGTTTCAAATGAAACCTTCCATATTTGTTTCTATATCATATGCATTTTATATGTAAAAATGAAAAAAGCAAAATAGAACAAAATAGCCATATCAAAGGTTTCAAGTATTTACATCTACATGTATGCTGTTTTTACATAATTATAAACAATAAAACATGAATCTTAAGCGCACAAAATTGGCATAAAAGCAGTTAAATTGGCTGCATTTCATTTCCGGAATTTTGGGCAATTATCAACTTTTCATTTCCGACATTTTTTTGTTTTCATTTCCGACATTTTTTTGTTTTCATTTCCGACATTTTTTAAATACATATTAGCCTTTAGTAACAGATTTGATAACTTAAATAATGAAAAATTTAAAGGAATAAATCATTAATAAATCATTGAAATCCAATTTTGTAAATCTATCAAAATTTGTAAAATTGGACATAAGTATTGTGCTGTCACTGACATTTGATTTAGTGAACATTAAATGTAGTGAACAAGTTTTATACTCGATCATTAAGCTCTTTTACATAGTCTTAGTGCTACATGTATCCATACATGTATACTAGATAGTTTTTTTCTATATTTTATTATTAATTTGGGATAAATGCTTTTAAAATTCTATTTTCTCTTACTTAGAAAACATTGAATTGCCGCGAAAAAATTCCGGAAATGAAATAAAAAAAATGTCGGAAATGCTATGCATATTTCCGGAAATGAAATGCAGCGGTTAAATTACAATTCTTTAATGACGTGGGTTTTTATGTCAATGGCTTCGGTTGATCATAGATGAGCCGTGTGAAGTATTCCAAAAAATAATACCATAATCGTTTTGAAATGCAAATGTTTATAATTATACTTGAACGAATTTTACTTTCCAATATATATGCAAGAAATTCTTTACTGAATTAAATTTTCTAACACAAATGTCAAGAGTTAAATAAGACATTATCTCGCTTTCTTTGATTCCAAATATAGGATTTTATTTTTAAAAATGCCACTTTTTGGTTGATCCCGGTCATTTTTATAAATATGGCAATGATGGGCTTTGACAATTGAATCTTTAGGAAGCCTAAAGACAATAAACTGAGAACATTCTCTTACTTTAAGCATTCACGAATAACAATCGTAATCTGCAGAATCTCGGGTTTCAGGCTTCAATATTGTCCTTATTTCATGCACATCTGACTTGATCGTTTCCAACGTTTCACGTTCATGTTCTTTTTTAAGCTTTTCTAAGATTTCATCTTCATCTTTCTCTTTTAAGATGAGATTTTGAATGTACATTAAATTATCCATGTACTTCTTCTTCGTGAAGACTTCTAATCTTTGGCAAATACCGGCCATTAAGGACCACGTGTCATCGAATTCTGTCTGAGAAGTGGAGGCTGAGCTCACGTGTCCCGTTAAACCGTTTCGGATAAACCTGATTCTCTCTATGTCATCACCCACTGTTGTCTCTCCTGGTGCAGGCATCTTGTTTTGTCCCCATCTGCCTTTTGTTGGTTTCGGAATCTTTGAACAAACGTTTCTGATTATCTTATATGATAAAGAAATATCAAAATCCTTATACCCAGAATGTTTGGCGTCTTGCAAGAGACGTTCTTGTTCTGGGTACAGCTGTAATATAGTAGGTAGTGATTGGACCTTTGTTAAACAAACAGTAGGGAGGATTTCTAACTCTACGATGTCTCGATATGCCTGATTCAGCACATCGTTTGTTGCCATTCCAAGTTTAGCAAATCTAGTTCGGCCATCTAAGTTTGGTCTGGAAGCCACTGGTATTGTGAAACAACAGGAATTTCTCTAGAAAAAAAAATTTCTTTTTCATTCAGTAGATTTAGGTGAGCAAATGAGAAAAAATCAAGAAAAAATACGAGTAGATGTATTATTAGATAAATGGCCCTTTCAATCAATTTGAGATCCTAAAAAGTATAAATAAGATAGATTCATTGATATGTTATCAGTTAATATGTTCATATCTACACCTATTTTAAGGAAAAAAAATATATCTGAACACAAACATCTGAAAGGCTTGTAGCCTACTGCAATGTAGAATGAGATTTAACTTTTGAATCTTTTCTGAAAGCTTCACTAGAGACTGTTTCATTTTGATAAAAACACCCATCATGTCTCTTTTCCATTCTCTTACACTCAAACAAGCTTCGCAATGATATTACAAGAATATGCATTTTCTTTAAGAAATCTTGACAGAGTTTCCCATTGTATTGAAATAGTATAGAAATATCGCTTCTTATTTGCAAATGTCAATTCGCCTTCCATAATACAATACGGAATTTTGAAATTTTTGGTGTGCACGATTGATATCCAATTCAATATTCAAGAACAACATGATCGAGTATAATTAAATTTTAAACCTAACGAGATCGAGTCATATCCATTGTTCAAGTAGACCGAACATTCCTTAGTCAATTTTAGTATTAAAACAACTGCCTAAAACTGGCTGGAATTCCAAAAGGTACTACGTGTACTCCTTTATTACATGTAGGTGGCCTACATATCCCTATGTAGTAGAATTATTCAAAATTCTATATGAAATGAGAAAAAGATTGTGGTATTTAGTTCTACATTCATATACATGTATATCGACATTTATCAAGTACCAATAGCTATTTTTTATTGGTATGTCAACTTGCTATATCCCATTTGGCTTTGAATATGAGAAACTAAAATCTGACATCTGTTTTATATCTGAGTGTTGTTTTTGTACTATAATCGATAAAAACCTAACCAGATATAGGGAAACTATCAACTAATAAATTTATAAATGCATATTCTGATCTGATCAGTTGGCCAGTTCAGCTAATATAAATATACTTACATCTTCCCAAAATCCCAAAGTCCATTGAACATCTATCTTATGTTTTCCTCTCCCAATAGGACAATTGCATTGACTTCCGGAAAGTTCATCTTCAGGAATAAACGTTTGATCCTTTTCACTGCAGAAAAGATTAAGGCATTTGTAACCTTTTTGAAATGTTTTCTTCTCATTGAATGTTGCTGTCAATTCTGTTAAGGCGGTTTGAATGGATTTTCCAATTTTGCAGGAAACCTTTAGTTTTGGATCATTAATCCGCAGCACCTGCACCTGGATGTCTTTATCGATTATACCAACGATAACTGTGTGATTTTCGGTTTCGAAAATGGCTGCTGTGTGATACAGGCATTGACTTTTGTCCTTATCCAGCTGCACTTTCCACTTCAAGAAACTCATGCAATATGCAATAAGCCTGTAGTAGACAAATATGGCAAAGGAAGTGAATCGAAAACACAAAATGGACGATTTCTCTAGTGTCTGTTTAAAGACGTCGTGTGTGAAAGGCTTTTGATTCATGCAGGGGACATACCAGCAGGATTCACCTTCAATGGTGACTAACATCTGTAATCTCTCCATGTATGACATAAGTTGTGTCTTGTGTTCTATATATGATGACTCTTCTTGCCACAGAGCTTCTACCAGTGAATTAGGCAGGTTTCCAGTGGCATTAAAATGGTTCCAATCTGCAATGTATCTTCGTTTGCAGTCCCTGTTGATGTGTTCCTTGTCCGCAATAAGTTTACTGAATGCGTTAGAAAACCATTGTATGCTTAGAACTGCATGTGTTCTCAGTCCCTCCTCCTTAAAAAAGAGCAACATGCCATGTCCATGGAAAAAGGACAGAAAATCAATTATTTCTTCTTGACTTTTCAACTGGTATTCTTCCGAAAGTTTCTTATTCTCTCTGTTGATGTCACTAATTGACATGATTTGCTTTTCTGTTTTTTGCAGAAGATGTTCAAGAAGAGCCCAAGCTGAGGGAACTTCTATCTTTGTATCCATGCCTTGTGATACTACTTCAGCAATCGCTTTTTTTTAGACTTTTCAGAGCAAGCCTTGCTTCCTCATTCATCTCTATTAGTCCTAATGCAATGTCCCTGTCATAAAGCCTGGTCTTATCATCCTCTGGTACTAACGTCCAAAGAGTTTCCCAAAAGGAGTCTTTTTCCTGTTTTGAAAATATTGAAAGCAAGTCATTAAAATTAGCTGTTCCCTAGACAATACCGACAAGAATCATGAAAAATGAATTACTTGTTAAGGGGATACTTAATGTTTTTAGAATGTTATCGTCTTTTTCCCTGGAGTTAAAAAGTTCCAGAACTTGAAAGTACTATGAAATACAGTTTATTGTCTATATATGCCGTTGTACACTTCTATACAAGTTAGGATACACAAAACTTCTAGAATATATGTTATATAAATTGTAAAAGAATTTTCATCATTAAATATCATTTAAAACCTGCTGATATTTGTCTATGGAAATCTTGTGGCCCTACAATCTTAAATTAATAATTTCTTGAAAAATTATCAATTGGTAAGGTACGTTGCATACGTCCTTAATGACTATATTTTCGCAGGACGTTCATTAATTGGTTGAGCAATAGTGATAGAGTAAAAAAAAATATATGCTATGAACAAGAGGCCCATGGGCCACATCGCTCACCTGAGTAACTTGGGTGATGCAGATCTTTTTAAAAGATTTGTTCTATATATATTTCTATGTAAAACTTGGATTCCCCATTGTGGCCCCGCCCTATGCCCGAGGGTCATGATTTTAACAATTTAATATCTACATTACTCAAGGATGCTTCCACATTAGTTTCAGCTTTCCTGGCCTAGTGGTTCTTGAAAAGAAGATTTTAAAAGATTTGTTCAATAAATCTCTATCTAAAACTTGGATTCCCTATTGTGGCCCCACCCTACCCCCAGGGGTCATGATTTTAACAATTTTATATCTACACTACCAAAGGATGCTCCCACATAAGTTTCAGCTTTCCTGGCCAAGTGGTTCTTGAGAAGAAGATTTTCAAAGATTTGTTCTATATATTTCTATGTAAAACTTGGATTCCCTATTGTGGCCCCGCCCTAACCTCAAGGGTCATGATTTTAACAATGTAATATTTACACTACTCAAGGATGCTTCCACATAAGTTTCAGCTTTCCTGGCCCAGTGGTTCTTGAGAAGAAGATTTTTGAAAAATTGTTCTATATATTTCTATGTAAAACTTGGATTCCCTATTGTGGCCCCGCCCTACCCCCAGGGGTCATGATTTAAATACATTAGAATCAACACTACCCCAGGATGCTTCCACTTAACGCTAAACTTTTCTGGACCAGTGGTTCTTGAGAGGAAGGTTTTTTTTAAAAGATTTTTCCTATATATATAATGTAAAATTTGGATTCCCTATTGTGGCCCCGCCCTACCCCCGGGGGTCATGATTTTAACAATTTAATATCTACACTACCCAAGGATGCTCCCACATAAGTTTCAGCTTTCCTGGCCCAGTGGTTCTTGAGAAGAAAATTTTTAAAGATTTATTCTATATATTTCTAGGTAAAACTTGGATTCACTATTGTGGCCCTGCCCTACCCCCGGGGGTCATGATTTATACAATTTAGAATCTACACTACCCTAGGATGCTTCCACATAAATTTCAGCTTTTCTGGCCCAGTGGTTCTTGAGAAGAAGATTTTTTAATGACCCCACCCTATTTTCATATTTTCTTGATTATCTCCCCTTGGAAGGGGTCTTGGCCCTTGATTTTAACAATTTAAATTCCCCTTCACCCAAGAATGCTTTGTACCAAGTTTGGTTAAAATTGGACCAGTGGTTCTTGAGAAGAAGTTGAAAATGTGAAAAGTTTACAGACGGACGGACGGACGGAGAGACAGACGGACGACGGACACCGGGTGATCAGAAAAGCTCACTTGAGCTTTCAGCTCAGGTGAGCTAAAAAGGAATTTTGATAGTGCAATAGTTTTGATGCGTGGAGCAAATATGAAATATTAATCAAAAAGATCGTAAGTTCCGTGTCGCTGGTACGATAAAGTACCCTCACTGCTCAATGGCCCTGAAGGCCGAGTATAGGTCAAAATTTTAAAGTCCTTCACAGGCAGACGGTAACGTCTCCATATGAGTGAAAAATTGTCGATATGGACGTTACACAACATATAGTAAAGGAATAAGACAAAGTTCTTATTATAAGCAGTTGGGAATCGAAACTTCACAACAGCAATAAATAGAATAATGATCCTTCATTAAGTCTCTTTATAATCTAGTGTAGTCTACTTGCATGCAACATTATATTATAATCAGACTAAAACTGTATTTAGAGTAGCATTTGAGGACAGTACTGAACAGAAATTTGTTTTTTTAGTTACTAAGGCAATAATGTTCTTCGAAATAAAAAAACGACACACAGAATTATGTACCTAAGTGTAATCTACTTGTGTGCCAAGTTATATTGAAATCAGACCAAAACTGTAGGAGGAGTGGCAATTTAAAAAATTGTTTACAGACGGACGGACGTATTCAACGTATTTTTTCTTAATTTTTAACTCAAACATAAATAGATTAAAACTATTTGAAAAAGGGTAATTTAAGGTTATTAATCGGATGATACTTTGATGCAATTTACTGAAGTTACTTTCAAGTCTACTTATTAGGAAACACTAATCAAACAACTGAAAAATACCTCTCCCATCTTGCCTTCTGTATGTGTAGCCACCGCAAAAACTCGTGCAGAAGGTCCACTAAATGATTTTATGGATTCAAGCCAGAAGTCAAGATAATCTAATAGTAAATTGTAGAAGATGTATTTAAGAATATCAACATATATAAACAAATGCACACCTCACAAACATAAACGATATATGTATATATAAATCTTTAGATTTAACACTATATAAAAACACTAAAAGTAACAAATGATACGAACAATAAAAATTGTTAAATTTTTGGGACACAGTGTCCCTTTTTCAGAACAAAGATGATAGGAACAAAGGAAAAAGAGAAACAAAAAAAAAGAACAAGCACTACTGAATGCTACATGTTGAATTCATTCAAAAGTTTATAACAAACAGTAAATGATATCAAAAACCTTGACTGCATTTATCTTGGGGAAGGATGGTGTATAAAGCCAAAAAATTTTTTTAAGCTGTTGATTTTGGTAAAACTTTGTGATATCAAATTTTGCAAATGTTCCTTGGAATTTTTAAGTATCTACATCTAATTTACACCACTTCTTGAATATATTGTTGCTGCTGAGGTTTTTCCTTCATTACTGATAATATGTTAGCGAGGAGTAAAGAAAGAGGTTTCTTTGAACATTTATAGAACTCGTTATGTATCTTGGTCTGTTAGGATTTGTAAAACAAATAGAAATGGAAATATAGTATCATATTTGCCAAGGGGAACAGGAAAGGTGTAAAAACAACAGGCTCATATGCCACATCGCTCACCTGAGTAACATTGGTAATGAAGTTCTTTACTTGATTTCCCCTCTTGCTATTCCTATCATGTCCCCTTTCACATTATGTTTCATGAATATAATACTTTAGAATCTACACTAGCAAGGATGCTTTCACATAAGTTTCAGCATTCCCGGCCCAGTAGTTTTTGAGAAAAAAATTCTTACTAAATATATCTATGTAAGACTTGGATTCCCTATTGTGGCCCCGCCCTACCCCTGGGGGTCATGATTTTGATAATTTAATATCTACTCTACCCCAGGATGCTTACACATAAGTTTCAGCTTTCCTGGCCCAGTGGTTCTTGAGAAGAAGATTTTTAAAGATTTGTTCTATACATTTCTATGTAAAACTTGAAATCCCTATTGTGGCCACGCCCACCCCCCGGGGGTCATGGTTTTAACAATTTAATATCTACACTACCCAATGATGCTTCCACATAAGTTTCAGCTTTCCTGGCCCAGTGGTTCTTGAGAAGAAGATTTTTAAAGATTTGTTCTATACATTTCTATGTAAAACTTGAAATCCCTATTGTGGCCACGCCCAACCCCCGGGGGTCATGGTTTTAACAATTTAATATCTACACTACCCAAGGATGCTTCCATATAAGTTTCAGCTTTTCTGGCCCAGTAGTTCTTTAGAAGAAGATTTTTAAAGATTTGTTCTATACATTTCTATGTAAAACTTGAAATCCCTATTGTGGCCACGCCCAACCCCCGGGGGTCATGGTTTTTTTCAATTTAATATCTACACTACCCAAAGATGCTTCCATATAAGTTTCAGCTTTCCTGGCCCAGTAGTTCTTGAGAAGAAGATTTTTAAAGTTTTGTTCTATACATTTCTATGTAAAACTTGAAATCCCTATTGTGGCCACGCCCAACCCCCGGGGGTCATGGTTTTTTCAATTTAATATTTACACTACCCAAGGATGCTTCCATATAAGTTTCAGCTTTCCTGGCCCAGTTGTTCTTGAGAAGAAGATTTTTTAATGACCCCACTCAATTTTTGTCTTTTTTTTGATTATCTCCCCTTGTAAGGGAACTTTGCCCTTCATTTTTACAATTTAAACTCCCCTTCCCCTAAGGATGCTTTGTACCAAGTTTAATTAAAATTGGCCCATTGGTTCTTGAGAAGAAGTCGAAAATGTGAAAAGTTTACGGACGGTCAGACCGACGGACGGACAGACGGACGGACGACGGACAAAATGTGATCAGAAAAGCTCACTTGAGCCTTCGGCTCAGGTGAGCTAAAAAATATGATCAGTCTTATAAATTCATGCCTGACCTTGTTTTATTCTAGAGAACATGATGTCTTCAGTTAAAATATTTTATATTCTTGTTTCTGGATTCAAAACGTACCTTTGTATGTCCACGTAGAGAAGATGGAGCCCTGACGTTCATCTTTTTCACTACAAACGAAGTTTTCGAAAGCTTTACTCATATCTAACACTAGGATGTAGAATGCTTCTGATCTCATGTAGATCTGATGACAGGCATAATAAGCAAATTGTCCTGCAAAATCAATCATGCTGACACTTATTTCAGTTTCTTTGGCATCCAATATTTTTTTTATTACATCCCTTGCCAGTTGTTGATCAATACTGTCACCTTCTCCGGCATGCATTTTTCTTCTTCTACTTTCTGTAGGATGTTGATCATCTGTTTCATTTTTCTGTGAAACCGGTTCAGTGTTCTGCGTTGCATATAATTCTTATCCAGTACTCATATCAACCTTTTTGTTTTCCAAGCCAGAACGGTTTCCAGTTTCTATCTCCATTTCAATATTTGCTGAGTCGTCATGTGGGTCTGGTCCCTTCTGTTGAAGTTCAGATACTGGAATTCTGATCAATGGTTTCCTTAAAGACTCATCGTCCGTAGCTACAATGCATGTACATGTATTTCACTAAAATACAGGTAATATAAATCTATTTTATATTCATGTTTTTGTCGATATTCAGCCAAAATCAAAATTGGTGATTATTTTCTGTACACAAGTTGGTTTTTAAAGAAAATTTAGAGTTTGCCTCTATGATAACCAATAAATATGGTTGCTTACTCTATAAAGATTGACAATAAAGGACAATATTCGGTAATGTCAAATATTTGCCCCGAAATTCAAGCTCTGACGTAGAAAATCTATACTTCTTTAATAAAACAGGGTAATATATTTGGACTTCAAAGTACTGAATATTTTCAATATGACATGAGAAATTGACGCAATTTTTTAATCCGAATGAATAGTTATATTACGTCGCCTTGTTGAGTCGAAGTCACCATACACAGGTCTTCTTCATCTAAATATTTTGATATACATGTAATATGTAAAATAATTATATCAATGAAAAAATGTAAATATAGTTTAAGAAGGCCTGTGCAAAATATGATTTTGATATCAAAACTTAAACAAACATTGTCCATTTTGTTCTCTTTCTGAAAAAAAAACAACATTAAATCCGAATAGTTTGTGACGTCATCAAACAAAAAGTTCCAATAATATTCCTTCATACTAAAATATTTACATTGCATGTGTTTTTTGTATATAAAATGAATGGAAATCTATTGCATTTAAAATACAATAACACAGACAGGGTTCCAAGAGGTTAAAGCATGCATTTTAGTTTGATGTCATAATCGGTGAACGCCGAGGAAGTGCATCGTCATATGCAAAAACCAAATAAAACCACACTCAAATTGACATAGCTATCATGTTTGCTGATCAATTAACTGTAGCCTATACAAAGGATAATGCATAGTATTTAAAAAGAAATATCATTTGCAGAAAGTTAAAAAGTGTAAATATAAGCAATGAATCATTATAAATTGAAAGGTGTAGTCTCATAACTATAACAGTGTGGGCAAACAATTTTTCATAACGCACTAACGCGCGTTACTCAATTTGTTTGCACACACCGTTGCAGTTATGAGACTATGTCTTGAAAAATGATTCATTGCTTAATTGATTTTATTGAATAAAATTTCTCATACAATATATCGAAGTAAGCGCATTTTTGCGTGTAAGCATAGCTTTAAGCAGAGAAATAGTGTCCGGGTGAGAGCATGCTCTACGTATTAAAAATTTCTAAAACTAGATGAATTATTAACAAGCAAGTTTATAAAACAAGAATATCAGCAGTCTCGTTTAAAGTCATCAATTCGTAAGTTCTGTGATCGATACAATGACCTTGTCAGCAAATACAATTTATCATTGAGTCACATGCTGACTGACGTTTTTATACTAATTGTTAGTCCATTATTGATGTACTGAATTAACGACAGATTTTTCCGTTATTTCTCGATCATGAAAAGGAGCACACGGCTGGTGTGACCGGTCAGCAGGGGATACTCACTCCTCAATGGCACCTGATCCCACATGATGTTTCGGAGGTCCGTGTTTTCTCTGCTATTATTTTGTATTGTTTTATGGACTTTGATATTGAATACTTTTCGTTATCTCCATATCCTTCTTCTCTATTTCAATCAGTTCTTAAAATTTAGAAGAAACTATGTTTAACTTAACTTGATGGAAAAAAAGATGCAAAGAGAGCTCTTTTTTTATTTTAATTTTACGCTATGATTTAATAATACATTTTTTTTTAGCTTTTTTAATGCTTTATGACTGTGTTATTAGACTGAACAAGGTAAAGATAACGAACACTGATTAATGTAACTGTATCCGCAATGAACCCTAAGTATTGATATTCGCAGGTTTGTTAAGGCAGCACATGGATCAGAATTCGGTGAATTAAGACTTGTATATAATTATGTAACACTAATAAATCGGAAAAGTCAAGGATAAAACTTTTGCTATCATTATACATTCTTTAGACTTCAACTGGACTTTTACTACAGGAAGCACTTCACCACGACATCATCACGAGATCATAATTAGAAAATATGCTTTAATGAAAAAGTGAAAAGTTCAACACTACCCCGGGGATAATTAATTTCAAGTTGTAATAATAGTTTTGTTTAAATATCTGTGTACCACGAAAAGTGCTGCTAGAATCCTACTAATAACTATTCAACATTTTTGACGAAACCTTCCCAAAATTTTTACATTTTGTTCATAACATCGAAAAAAATGCATCGATTCTAGCAGCACTTTCCAAAAACAATAGAATAAAAACTTTCGAAAGAAATAAAATTTAAGTTTCAAGGTATGCGGCGTAGTGTTGAACTTTGCATCTTTTTTGTAACGAACGACAGAGCAAAGGCTGATCGGCAAGTAAACACTCTGCCTGCTTTAGTTTTACGAAGAAATTGTAGAATCATATTAGCATACCCTATTCATAAGCTTTATTCCCAGATGAATCACACATGATATTTATTCTAAATGCTTTTAAACTCCGATTTTTTGTGTTTATTTACATGGATTCTCGTAAGGTTTCACTTTCACTCTGCTACTACATGATCAATAGTTATGACGTCACGGGTTTGGTATTTAAGCCCTGTGATAACTTCAGAGACCCAGAAACGACAAAAGTCCGTTTATATTATGCCTCTGCATATTTTGATTCATTTTTACGACTTCAAATCAATCTTACATATCGATTTTAAGAAATTGTTTTCTCTTAACCTCATGTCATATAGCTGACTATGACGTCATATCATATAGGCAAGTAGAATATTTCGTTGTAACCTTAACATACCTGCGTTATTGACGGAAAATCTAAAGTCACACAGCACCGTTAATGCCTACTATGAGAAATAAATGGAAAATAGACGTTCAAAAAGGAGGGGGTTTTTAACTGAATTTATTTTAATTAAGCTGTCTTATTATCAGAGAAGTTAAATACTTATGGAAATAGCATAGTATAACCAACTCTGAATTATATGAAGTTTAGTCCCATCGATGGACAGTCACGTGATGAAAGCATAGTTCGGGTACTGAATGTGGGTCATTCACAATTTTGAAATTAAAAACTCAAGCTATTAATTTTTTCTACACACTTTGAAGTTTCTGAAAAGGGCTGCTGCTTTGTATAGAATTTGCGTTTTACTAGTTAAATTTTCAAGTAAATAGGCCAATGTCGAAATATGTTTGTCTTTTACCAAATATTTTGTGTACTTTTAAAATCACGCCCTCGATTTAAAGAAAGCAGCATTTTTCAAGTTAAGGAACATATCCTTTTATCTGTATACAAAAAATGGTTAAAATCTATGCAGTGTATGCCCTCATGCCTCGATTTTATGAGCATCTCATTGTAAAATATACGTAGCCTGTACATAAAAACTCGACATAATTAATAAATAAATTCTCTTGATAGTTAATGAATAATCGCACTTAACAAAGGATATACATTGGTATTAATTGACTATTTAAGAACCCGTAAATTATATTCTGCCTAATAATAAAACGCATTTTCATTGTTAAAAAATCCCAGATCTGCCTCTAACAGCGCATGAAATACGTCATTTTTACCAAAATGACGTCATATCTACAAGTTCCTCGCGATCAGTGCTTTGTTTATAACCAGTCACATGGGATTTAACTAGCAACTTTTTAAAACATATATAAATTTTATTGTTGTTTATTATGCTTATATAGTTAAAATTGGAAAATTATTTCATTTTCAGATATATTATGAGAAGTACATAAAAGTCATATTTTTGTGTGACGTCACAGCAAACCTTTCCCTTATAAATAAGTTCCTGCCCCTTTTTAAAGCCTTAACAATGCTGCGCAATCTATTACAAAACAAAGGCCTAATAAATGGTATAAAAACGTTAGTCTGAATCTAAAGATTTCTGAAATTAATGGTTAAAGAAATAAAAGAACGGAGGGATAACTAAATGTGCAAATTTGCTAAAAAAGAATTTCGTTGATTGCTTGTTCATTGTCTAGAATATTTTTCCTAACAATAATTATATTCATAGCTGGTTAAAGTACACACCTGATAAATCTCCATTTTTCACAGATAATATGTGTTCGTAGACTTGAAGTCCCCTAGTAGATTTTATTTCCTTAATTTCGTCAAGACCTTTCCCCAGTAGTCGGTATAAAAGTGTTGTTTTTCCAGCTCCAGCACACCCAACCACGATCCCACGTGCATGACGAACTGTGGTTTTCCCCTTTTTCATGTATGCCAAAAATCTTTCAGTTGGAATATTAATATCATCTTCAAAATATAAATTATCCATTCAGTATGAAAATCTTAATTAACTATGAATCCTTTGTCATCTAAATCATTATTTTACCTCTGCTTGAAAAGTGGGAGGGTATATAGTGATCGGGATATCCGTCTGTACGCCCGTCCGTCCGTTCCGCATTTGGGGAACCCATCTCTTATCAGAAATTCTTTTTGTACGACTGAATGAAATATAATGAGACTTTCACAGAATCTTTGTTACATGGTGCCTTTGTACACTTCCTATTTCACTTTTTGATCGTACATATATTTCGGGTTTCTCGTAGCAAAACAGATCGTCTGAAAACCACGGTGATCTCGTCTTTACTTGCAGAAGGGTGATGCGATCGCTAAAATAGGACCTTAGGTCCTCTGCTCAGTTCATGACTATCGGGCCTGTTTACTGCGCTACAAATGTAGTGCGTTGCATACATAAAGAGACAAGAGGCCCACGGGCCTTATAGGTCACCTGAGCATTATGCAACAACTTTCCAGTTATTGAATTTGATTCATGTTTTAACTTAAGCCAGATGATATATGGCATTCACAATTTTGAAAGAGGCACCATTGATCATCATAAGAGTACACTTAGCAGTTGCTTAGCTTGGTTACTGAATACCCATACGCAGGGTAGGGGAACAAAATGCATTCCAACTAATCAGTAATATTCAGCAATAATCAGTAGTGCCCCTAACACTGTGACATAAACCCCTGACCCTAGGTCCACACATTGCACAAATTCTAAAAAGGCACCCTTAAAATTGCCTATCAAAAATAAATAAATGTTTTATAAATACAAAGGCGCAGATTTCAAACAATTAATTCATTTTCAGTATATAAGTAGAGCCCCCCCCCCCACCCCTGACCCAGGGTCCTTGAAATTCACAATTCTGCAAGATTAGGGACCTTGCTCATCATGACTATATAGGTAGTTCATCTGCTTCATACGCAGAGACAGAGAAGAAAAAATTTCAAAGATTTAATGTATTTTCACTATATAATCAATAGAGCCCCGCCCTAACATCAGAACCCCTGACCCTGGGGCCATAAAATTCATAATTTTAGAAGAGGCATTCTTGCTCATCATAACTATGTACATAGTTAGTTTATTTAATTCCTAGGAGCAGAGAAGAAAATTTTCAAAGAATTCACTTATTTTCAATATATAATCAAACTAGCCCTGCCTTAACACCAGAACCCCTGACCCTGGGGCCATAAATTTCACAATTTTGGTAGAGGCACTCTTGCTCATCATAACTATACACTTAGTTAGTTTATTTAATACCTAGGAGCAGAGAAGAAGATTTTCAAAGAATTCATGTATTTTTACTATATGATCTATAGAGCACCCCCCCCCTCCTCAACACCAGAACCCCTGACCCTGGGACCATAAAATTTACAATTTTGGTTGAGGCACTCTTGCTCATCATAACTATGCACTTAGTTAGTTTATTTAATACCTAGGAGCAGAGAAGAAGGTTTTCAAAGAATTCATGAATTTTCACTATATAATCAATAGAGCCCCCCCCCCCCTTCAACACTAGAACCCTTGACCCTGGGGCCATAAAATTCACAATTTTGGTTGAGGCACTATTGCTCATCATAACTATGCACTTAGTTAGTTTATTTAATACCGAGGAGCAGAGAAGAAGATTTTCAAAGAATTAATGTATTTTCACTATATAATCAATAGACCCCCCCCCCACACACACACCAGAATCCTTGACCCTGGGACCATAAAATTCAAAATTTTGGTAAAAGCACTCTTGCTCAACATAACTATACACTTAGTTAGTTTATTTAATACCTAGGAGCAGAGAAGAAGATTTTCAAAGAATTCAAGTATTTTCACTATATAATCAACAGAGCCCCCCCCCCCCCCCTAATACCAGAACCCCTAATCCTCGGGCCATAAAATTCACAATTTTTGTTGAGGCACTCTTGCTCATCATAACTATGTATTAGTTAGTTTATTTAATACCCAGAAGTAGAGAAGAAGATTAAGATTTTCAAAGAAGTCATTTATTTTCACTATATAATCAATAGATCCCCCCCCCCCCCACACACACACACCAGAACCCTTGACCCTGGGGCCATAAAATTCACAATTTTAAAAAGGCACTCTTGCTCATCATAAGTATGTACTTGGTTAGTTAATTTAATACCAAGGAGCAGAGAAGAAGATTTTCAAAGAATTCATGTATTTTCACTATATACGAGGGTCATTCAAAAAATACGTAGACAATGCTTCTCATTGTCATATAATTATTACAAGATTATAGATCAACACATTTTCGTAAACATAAACATTTATTTTGTCGAAGTGTGAAGTTTCATTCCATTTGATTAAAAAGAACTCATATTAGCCAAAATTTAAAACAGCATGTTTTGTTACCACGGAGCACGGTTAACCAACATTGTAACGTCAAAGACAACGTTGAGAAAGTTTGTCAAAATTATACTAATTTTCTTAATTTCAAACACGGTTTGTAGCGTCTTCTCCATTAAAAAAACATATCCATAACACTTAACACCTAGTTTGCAAACAATTGTACAAATATAGCTTGAAAAAGAAAGTCATTGTTTTCAAATTCTTTAATTTGCCATGTAACTCTATTAATTCTGCAACAGTGAAGCACACATTACGTTCAATGACGTTCCTAACTCTTTCGACAATATTTTTAACTTTAACCTGTTTCTTTGCAGACAATCCATCGTCCGATTCAAACTCACTACCACTCAAAAATTGTATTTTCCATTCAATACAAACACACAGATTATTTTTCATACAGATCCTGGTTTAAACGGATTTTTTAAGCTTGTAAAAGAAGTTTTCGAATGTAAAGTACAATTTTATTGCTACTTGCTGCTCCGTGACGTCCTCCAACGTCAGGGTTTTTTGCTTATTTTAATCAAGTCCATATGTATTTAGAAACTGATATCTTTTAAATGGAGCGACATATTACATAACCTGATTTCATTTTAATTAATACAGCAATACTTTATTTAAACACGTAAATTTTATTTCGTTTCAGCTGCATTTATTAGAGCTATGGCTGTAAATACTATAAAGTGAAAATTAGTAAATTACTCAATTTTGACGGTGCTCCGTGACCCCATTTTTGCTGTTCTAAATCCTTGGTAATTTTAATAAATATGAAGATACATTCCAATTTTTTTACTCAAATTATTTGAATCTGTTGCTAAAATATTTGTACCAAATTTGGATATAATATGACGTTAAATAAAAAAGTTAGGTCAAAAGTCTACGAACTTTTTGAATGACCCTCGTATAATCAATAGAGCCCCACCCTAACACCAAAACCCCTGACCCTGGGGCCATAAATTTCACAATTTTGGTAGAGGCACTCTTGCTCATCATAACTATGTACTTAATTGGTTTATTTAATACCCAGGAGCAGAGAAGAAGATTTTCAGAGAAATCATGCATTTTCACTATATTCTTATTTAGCCCCGCCCTAGCACTAGAACCCCTGACCCCAGGGCCATGAATTTCACAATTTTGGTAGAGGACTCAATGCTGATTACAATCATGCAAACAGTTTGACTGCTTGATGTCCAGGAGTAAAGAAGAAGATTTCTAAAGATTGCATTAATTTTAGTGGTTTTGGCCCCTCCCCTCAGGCCCCAGGGGGGCAGGGATCATGAAATTCACAATTTTTGTTCCCCTTTAGCCATAGATGCTTTGTGCCAAATTTGGTTGAAATTGATGCAGTGGTTGCAGAGAAGAAGCTGAAAATGTTCAAATGTTAACACACGATGGACGACGGACGACGGACGACGGGCGACGCACGACGACGGACGAAAACGGATAGCAATAGGTCACCTGAGTTTACTCAGGTGACATAAAAATAGAATAAATCCTACTACTGTGAAGCCTTTACAGAGTTAAAAAGAAAACCAGAAAATTTATTTTTATCAAAGTTATAACAATCTAATGGATATTATAAAAGATATGGGGGTGAGCAACATTAACTGCAATATCAAAGATAAGAGTGTAAATAACATACATGTATATGGATAACGTTGGGTGACCTGCGGTCTCCCTCGTCATTTTACTATTCCATGTAAGGTTATATTATCTATTTAAAACAGTGCATAACCTCTTATCTCCCTAATAATAGTAAGCGACTCGATCAGAGTATTAAAACGACATCCAGCCTCTTCATTCGCAGATCTCTAACAAGCAGGGGGGGGGGGGGGAATCTTGACCTCAACCACCCCCTACCTCTTCATTTCGCTCCGACTTTCCACCGATCCATTTAATATAAAATGATAATTATTTGTTAATAAATTATTTTATGTGTCCTTTGTAGGGATTTCAAATTAGTTATTTTCCTTAGTCGAACATTCGTTTGCATTATTCGAACGATAGTCGACTATTCAGAACATTTTTCAAAGATAAAATTTCATTGGTACATAACCAAACACACTCTTGAGTAGGATTTATATTTTGGAACTTCAATGTCATGTTCCTCTTGAGTTCAAAGACCTTAGTCAAATATTTGGTGATAATTCTTCAAAATTTAATAGCTTTATACAAATCTGAACATACAATATTATTATTTTTTTCCTTTAAATTTTATCTTAAATAAGGGATTCTTGGTGTAAAAAATCTTTTAGTTATTAAGTTTTGCGTTTTTTCAACTTTACATGTAAGCAATGTTTTAGATCTAGCTCCGGGACCATAAAATGAAGACAAGCTCACTTTTGATCTCAGTCTCACTTTTCCAATTTTGATTTCTTTTGTAAAAGTGAGATTGAGATCAAATGTAAGCTCACCTAAGTTTTATGGCCCCGGAGCCTGGTAGAAGGTAAAAAAAAGGTAGAAGCTTGATCTAATTTTAAAAAGGCAATATTTTTTAATTCAGTTTTTATATCCAAGAGCAAGTTACAGTTGTATCAGTACCGTGACCAAAGTCCTACTGTCATATGTAATCCCTGTGAGGAGACCTTAAATTGAATACCTTGAATCTTGACTCTTTGACCTTAGACTTTTATCTACTTTTAAAACATAGACCTTGACAACCACTTTTAAAGGGTAAGGGTAAGTGCGTTCATTCTTTACATATTTAATTCTTGTGACAAGACCTTTCATTCGTCATCAAGAACTGTGACCTTGACCTTAGAGTTGACAAACTTTCAAAAAAATTTAACCTTGACAATAATGTTTAAATGGTTAAGGTTAGGGCTTCCATACTTAACACATATAACCCTTGTGACATTTGACCTTTCTTAAGGTAGGATTCTTCTCATACTTCTTGTATTTAAAAATCAATAAAATTGTCACAGAATCAAAAAGAAAAATGCTAAACAAATTTTAATCCGTGATATATATTAACAAAATTGTATGATAAACAAGATACTCACACGAATTGTTGTTTTATTTTTATTTGTTTTTGCTTTTCAAAGATTATGCTGGTAAATGGAAATACCTGTTGACCGATGTTTTGCTCCATCTGCATTTCTGAAATTGTACTTTTCATATATATTTCATATACTTTTCATATATTTCATTAGGTAAGCCAAATATCTATAATGGATTAATTTAATTTGAACATTAAATGCCTTACCCTCGATCTGTTTCCACGTGAAAACTCCCATCTTGTCTCCGTATTTCTTCCAATTTTGACTGAGTATTTGTAATGAATTCAATTGCTCTGTTATCCGATTTTCGGAAAAATTCCAAAAGTACATCATAATTACCAGGAGACATCTTCCCCATTTTCTCAAGAATATCAAAATCGTCAACTACAGTTCTGTTACTTGGATATGGACGGTTTGTTATGTTTCCAATATATATTTTCCAACGTTGGAGGACAGGACCATCTCCAATAAAGTCTAAGAGTGTTGACAACAGATCCCAGTGTTCTTTACGTATGGCATCCATATATGAAACCTTTTAATAAAGACATACACTAATTCCGTTTTCATGGCAGTTTTCCCCTTTTTTGACGTCATACATATCCATAGCAAAAGGTAATAAGAACGACGTAGGGATTGAAAGGAAGCATACAAAATATTCTACCTTGACTAAATCAGTGAAACATTATGACGTCATAGTAGACGAGATGACGTCAATTTTAGAACACAAATTTTCGTAATAGAGATGCAATTTAAATTTAGAAAATTAATAAAAACATTAAAGAAAATAATTTGTAATATTAATTAAAATCTACCACCGATGACATCATATGTAAACATCAAGTAGCTTAGGAATTGATCAAATCGCGAGAATTTGTCTAAGATGTTATGTAAGGATACGTGAAATGGAGTTTAAAAAAACATCGTAAATATTATGTGAAATTCAATTGTAGTTATGTTAATTAAACAAGTATGCTTATATATTTTCATCGATAATATTCTCTTTCAGAGATATTCGTATCCTGCTCGGCCTTGTCATTTACAACAAAAATATAACGAACTTTATAACAAAAATAATACAACAATAAGGAATATATTTCAAAATATAAGAAAATATAAGTTTGTCTTGCTAAATACTTGGTGAGTGCTGCTAAGATCCCGATTTAAGGGGATGAAGGACCTTTAGCTGTCATTTAATTTTTTTCATATTTTGTATATATCTTATTTAGTATGTCCTACATACTATAAAGCAGACATATCAATAGGTTTCTAGACTTATTTCTGAGATATTCAGTGACAAATACCATACCCCACAGTGTCTGAAAGGAGTTTTTATTCTCCGTGTTTCTGGGTCCATTACTCGGTCGATAATTGAAATTTTTCACCATAGAAAAAAAAATATACCAGCGGAAATGTGTCTTTTAACATATTTTAGAGCATAAATAGAGTTAAAAATTCCAAAAAGCAAGATTCTTTTGTAACACCATATCTGTAGACGGAAATTTACGACTTTTTTAGGACAACTTAAACCTTCAAAAAATTAATTTGCAAAAAATCCTATCATTTAATATTTGAAAATTTTCGTCGAAGTTCAAGGTCGTCATTGTATTGATTAACTGTAAAAATATCGATTGGTGAAGCTGAGCTCAATATTGCAAAGTTAAACGAGTCATAATCATGAGAAAAACGTGTCATGTTTACATTTCTCGAGTACGGGAAAACCCAACTATGACGTCACACATTCCTGAAATAAGCGAAATAAGACAAACCCACAGAACTTTTCCGTCAACAACCATGTAAAAATATTATTTGCGTTCTAAAATTTACAAAATACCCTAGCATGTACATATTATGGCCCGTTTTTATGATTTTATACTTCGCGTTTTTACCGTGTATGATCTTACTGAACTAAGAGATCCACCATGGCGTCAAAGACGCACTGGACGCGCAGAGTAGGGAAACGGCAGAGTGGATTAATCTATTCCGTAATTTGATAATATTTGCAAGAAATTTTGAATGTTTTCAGATATCTTTATACTAGATGGTGAACGCAAACAAACAGTTAAAAAAATTATACAAGTAGTGTGGTTTCAATCTCGTTTTGTACATATTTTATCAGAGATTATGACGTAAATCAACTGAGTCACGTGACCATACTTCCCTTAAGCATAGTTGAACGTAAATCTTGGTTCATATGTATAAAATAAGGTATAAGGTTTCGTGCGAATGTCTGGAAAAATACTTTTTTTACAGGACAGTGGGATTCTAGCTTCACTTTTTAGGCAAAATAGATGTTTTTCGACAATGTTATTTACTCAAAGAAATTATCAATGTCTGGGGTATGGTTGTTCTGTTGGCATTTTTATTAAGTGACTTGGCAGCTTTTGGGAAAACTCGCGAAGATGGTGGTCGTCCATGTAGACTTTATTCGGCTAAAGGTTAAGAGTTCTGAATCCTTGTTTTTCAATGCTTTATTGAATATCAAAGATTCCATCATTTGTATGCCTAAAATACAGACGTCAAACGCAATTGTGACGATTGAGTGATAAAAACGATCAATTTTAATCTGTATCCATACATCACCTCTAACAATCGTGTCGTTAAGTGGATAGCCTACACGACTTTCACAAAAATCACTGTGCAATATACCATGCCTTCCAATAAAGTAACCAAGACTTATGAGTCGGACATTTTTTAGAAGATTTGGTTATCAAGAAGACGCCCTTGTAATCAAAATCAAAACGAATGAGGAATCCCTTCAGATTCAAAGTAGAGATCATGTATGCATTAGCCACCTTAGAAAAGCATTTTAACGCAAATACGACGGGATTTGGTCCGGAAAATTGTCGTCGTATAAAACAGGCAATTAAGAAAACGAATGCTAACAGACTATACACTATTCAAACGGAGAGAACAAGGGAGTATTTAATTTCAAAAGGCGGACATTCTTGAAGAAGACCAATTTGAAGAGAAAAAATTAAATATAGACTAGGACGTTGACATAATAGCTAATAAATGATAAAGAATAATAATAATAGCTACGATGCCGTTCAAAATCTAATTCATGAGGTCTATGCAAATGGTTGGAAAGGTTACATATAATCAATTGTACGTAATATTACCTTTGTTTTATCGTAATGTTTTTGAAAAAAAATAAAGATGAAGCAGGAAAAATGAATACAAGTCTTGTTATTGACAGTAGTCACATCAAATGCTCATTCCATCGAAATCATAATCAAATATTTGTTTGATCTTCAAAAAAAATTGACAAGCGAAAAAAAGGAAATGTCCACTTTCCAAATAAAAAAATCCTATTTCGTTGGGAAGGGGGGGGGGGTCGAACTTCAGTGCCAATTTTTTTTCAAAACACCACCACTTTCCCCATTTTAAACCTATACTGCATCGTGTCCATGAAGAGCGGGGGAGGGGGGGGGGGGGCTAAACCTACGCAGCAATGTTCAATGTCTATACTAAGTTTATCTTTGGGAAAAAAGTGGGGGCTAAGCCCCCCTCCCCGGTTCTGACGCCTATGTATTTTCAAGTTTGGACAGTCAATTTCCTTTTTTTTTTTTAATTTGCTTGTCAAGTTGTTTTCAGCCGGGTATCTTGGATTTTCAAAAAAACGATGCTACGTAACTGTTCTCTCGCCTGAAAAATGTAACTCTGTTAAAGTTATTTGTTGGATAATTGAATTCCAGTTTAATTGACATAGAAACGTTAATATTTTTGATTCTAGTTATCCCTTATAAATTGAGTTGTTTTTCAGGACCTTCCACTGAACTGAACTTTATTTCACGACAGATAGTAACTGCTCATGCGTGTGATTCTAGGGACGGGACTTTGTAAAGGAGTGAGGAGCGTTATGGGTATTCGAAATTGGAACCAGGCTACACCCCAGGCATACTAGAAACTCCCCAGTCTTTTTTCTGCTGTAATATTTTATATTGAAATAGCACTGTTCAATAAAAAAAGAAATATTAGCCAGGAGAGCTAAAAAAATATTAAAACCTGAAAATTCTATTTGGGGATGGTGATGGGGGGGGGGGGGGGGGTCGTCAACTTTTTTTTCAGTACCAAATTTTACTCATATGCCACTAAGTACATGATTTTTAATATATAAATTGACTAATAGTACTGCAACAAAAAATGTAAGGGGTGGGGGCAACAAGTATTTCGCTGAACTTTTCCAGTAGTAAAAAGTCTGTTACGTTTAGGAAAATGTTTTGTGGCCACCCTCCCCTCTACCTGTGAAACTTACCCCATAGGAGGTCGTACAGACGGAAGTCAGTATACATATTGATACTTGGGGGGGGGGGGTGATTGTACATTGTATAAAGTCCCTTTAAATTCGAGAATTTTTAACTCAAATGGAGAAGCCACCTGCTGCCGGTGGAGAGCTTCAAATTTGTTCAAAATACTCGGCACTTACGAGGGTCGTTCAATAAGTAATGCAATACTCAGTATATCATAATAAATGTTGAGGCATTTGATTTTATTTTTTCATATTTGAAAAGTTCTATTTAAGATCTACTAAACACAGAAAACCCCACGAATTTTCATAGTGTCACCGCAAAGAAATTCATTTTTAAAGTAAGCATGGTCACTACACTGAGCTGAAAACTGTTTATAAATGATCTCCGCCAAGAAGATGAAAATAAGTGCGTGTTTGAAAACCGCGCTTTTTACATAAATCGCCGCAAACCTCATATTTAAGATAAAATTTTTATAAGTGGAAAAAAATAATCTTTAAGGCTGTATACTTTTCAGATGGATTCAATAATTCGGAAGAAAAAAACAAGGGTTCAAATAAAACAGTCAATATTGTCAATTGAAATTTGTGGGGACATCACAAAATATCGACTTTGTGTGCCACATGTAATTTGAAAATGCTATTTTTACATGGAAAGACATTGTTAAAATACTTAACATTAAATCGTCACAGAATTTTGTAGAATTCGGACAAAGGAATAACATATAACAATATTTCAATCAGATAGGTGCCCTATTTTCTCACAAATGTCCAAGAGAGAACATTCGTTAAATGTGCACACGGTTTGCTTAAAAATACATTTTAAAACAAAATTGAAGAATTGATAAACTTGCTTAATGTATGACGAAACATTGATGCTCTTATTATAGTCGTAAAATATGATTGATGATAAAAAATAAGGAATCAAAGAAAAGGGTGTCATTTAATTAGGATAAAGAGAAGTAATGGATGCAAACATGTTTTATTAATTTCATGTATTTAAAGAGGTCCATTAAAACATGAACATGCATCCAAATAAAGGACTAGCAATAGTAAGTTTTATCTTCAAATCGCATAAAGGAAAGTTGAACAGATTTTTTGCAAAGAAAGTCCAAAATTCGGTGACCATGGTATTTTTCATGTGCTTAACAACGCAGCTGGATATACTCTTAGAGAAAAAATAAAATTTTGAAGAAAAGAAAGTATACATGACTTTTCAATTACCCATATTAGTTTAATCGCAGCCACTGTGAGATCTTTTTGTCCCCAAAACACATGAAAACAATCAAAGGAAGATTGTACAATGTTAGATATGTCATGTGAAATGATATTCCTCAGTGTCTTTGG